CTGGCATGGTGGCGAATGCCTGTAGTCCCAGCTACTCTGGAGGCTGAGGCAGGAGAATCGCTTGAACCTGGGAGGCAGAGGTTGTGGTGAGCCAAGATCAAGCCACTGCACTCCAGCCTGGGCTACAGAGCAAGACTCCGTCTCAAAAAAAAATTAAAAAAATAAAAAATAAAATATATCTATATATCTATATCTATATCCATATCTATATCTATATCTATATCTAACCTTGGAAGAAAGAAGAAAGAGGTAGGCCTGCACTTGGATCCCCTGACCCGTCTTGACTGAGGGGACTAGCAAATACAGACTATGCTTTGCTGTGGGGAAGGGAGAGGAGGTGGGAGAAGAGGTAAGGGGTCTTACCAGGGTAGGGAGAAACCACCAGTGTGACCTGCCTTAAAGGTGTTGCTCTTGTCTGCAAGTCCACCTGGGGGAGGGGGGTCAGTTTTTGCCCTGGGGGCGTGTAGTTATCTCTTTCTGAGGGTAACCAGCCCTAGAAGAGCAGAGGTGCTTTGGCACTTGGCCATTGATAGGTATGGCTCCTCTCCACCCCCATTTTTGGTGATAATCAGTTTAATTTTTTTCTTTTTCTTTTTTTTAAGACGTGGTTTCACCATGTTGGTCAGGCTGGTCTTGAACTCCCGACCTCTGGTGATCCGCCCGCCTTGGCCTCCAAAATGCTTGGATTACAGGCGTGAGCCACTACGCCTGGCCAGTTTAATTTTTTTCTGAGGTAATGGTGTCTCAGTTGTGGAAGAGTCCCTTCCCGCCTCTTCACACGTGCCAACTCTGATGCATGCAGTGTTCCATACACCTGAGCACTGGCTCATTCCTGCGGGCTGCCATGGGGGACTGATCTTCCTGATGCCAGGGATCCTCCAGGATGCCCTCTCTGACCTCCTATGCAACCCCGTACATCAGGCAGCTTCCCTAAGGCCTGCCTGACTCCGGCCGGATTTCCCAGGAAATCCGGACCGACCGCGGAACCGAGCTTCAGGAACGCCTGCGAGGAGGCCATGGGTCCTAATCTATCCCCGAGTACACAGTCCCGGCCTCCGGCGCCCCGAAACGCCGCAGTGTTGAGTCATCTCAGCGCTGCCTCCTCCGCGCTGCGCTCCCCACCCCCGCTCCAGGAGCCAGAAGATGCAGACGATACTTTTCCGGGAGGCAAGAGAGTGTCTTTACACAGCCACCGAGAGGCTCCCAGTGGGGTATGCCTTAATGGTGCCACTCTTGTCTGCGTCTACACTTAGGGGCTTGGCTTCTGACTTGGGGAGTGTACAGCTCTGCCCGGCGACAACCCAGCTTGGGAAGAGAAGCCCCAGCGTGGGTCAGGGCTCAAGACTCAGGGAGGCCGAACCCTGCGTGGGCGGCTCCGGGCGGGCGCAGCACCCCCAGGCACCGTCTCCTAGTGACCGCGGCGCTTGCGGGCCCAGCGACCGTTGTCCGGGCGACTGCGCAGCGCAGGCACCCCCGCAGCCCCTCCCCTGGGCGCGCGCGCGACCTGGGTGCCATGGCGGCGGCGGCAGTGACAGGCCAGCGGCCTGAGACTGCGGCGGACGGGGAGGCCTCGAGGCCGCAGTGGGTGCCACCAGAGCACTGCCAGGCACAGGCGGCGGCCGGGCTGGGCGGCGGCGAGGACGCACCGGTGCGACCACTGTGCAAGCCCCGCGGCATCTGCTCGCGCGCCTACTTCCTGGTGCTGATGGTGTTCGTGCACCTGTACCTGGGCAACGTGCTGGCGCTGCTGCTCTTCGTGCACTACAGCAACGGCGACGAGAGCAGCGACCCTGGGCCCCAGCTCCGCGCCCAGGGCCCCAGGCCCGCGCCTGCCTTAGGTCCCCTCACCCGGCTGGAGGGCATCAAGGTGAGGACCTCCCCCCACCGCCGCACTCCTGGCCGGAAATGGCTGAGCCCGAGAGGACCGGCGCTCAGCCCGGGTTCCTTACATTGCCCCCGGCGCTGCTGTGCCTCGGTCCCGCACTCCCACTCACTCGCCTGCTGTCACGCTCCGGGCCAGAGCGACTTGGCCTCTCTTGGGCAGCGTGGTCTGGCGCCTCAGCTGCCCGCTGTGCGCCTTTCCTTTAGGTGGGGCACGAGCGTAAGGTCCAGCTGGTCTCCGACAGGGAACACTTCATCCGAACCCTCAGCCTCAAGCCGCTGCTCTTCGGTAAGTCCGCCAGATACTCCTGGGAAGGGCCAGGGGCTGCAGTTTGGTGGCCACCTTGAGGCTCATTATGATCACGTGACCTCTATTTGAAAATGGCTGCTTCAAAGCAGCCCTTCCAGAGGGTTACCAAAGTGAAGGACCCTCCCAGTTATCGGAATAGGGTAACACTCCCTCTTATCCCTACTCCCTGCAGTCCATTCTTCCATCACAGGGCTGACGATGTGAGCCTGAGACTGGCGTCTAAACATTTCATTGCAGCTGTCTTCTGACAGTCTGTGCCACCATTGATTCTGTCACCTTCTAGAACTCGAGGAAGATGGGAAACTGATAACCAGCTTTCTGCCAACCTCAGGACCTCTGGGGAAAATCCCAATGCCCAAGTGGGTCTTGTGTTCTGATGAGAAGCAGGCCATCCAAATGTAGGTAAACTGGCGCCCCCCAGCCTTCCCCACAGAATCAGCAGTCAGAAGCTCAGCTTTTGCTGCCAGCACTCTGGGATTCTGCTCACCGTGGAGTCTTTGTTCAGCCATCATGGGCAAAGACTTCTAGGGTAACTCTGCTTGGAGCCACAACATAGCTCATGTTTTCTGAGTTCTAGTTATGTGCTTGCCTTGGTATGATTATTTCATTTAATTTCTGCAACCCCTCTGTGAAGTGGGTATAGATCCTACCCTCAGGCCAGTGGGGGAGAAAGTTAGGCCCAGAGAGCTGCTGTGGCTTGGCTAGGCTGGCACGGTTACTTCAGTGATGAAGCTAGGATTAGAACCCACAGTTAACTTCAGTGGTGAAGCTAGGATTAGAACCACTGTGCACTAAAGCCACAGTGTGAGCTGTGAAGACCCCGGAGTCCTTCAAAGACCACCAGTGTCAACAAGGTGGGGATTCCTCGTCCCATGGACCTTGCCCAGGGTAAGTTTGTGCAGCACAGCCCTGGGTAGCTAGCCTCCATGACAAACATATTTGCAAACCCAGGGCCATTCCTGCCTGCCAGGGGATGGAATGGGTTAGGAGCTGGGGCCAAAGTAGAGCATCTGAGCACATGTCATTACTGCCAGGGTAGAGGGTCCTGGTTGGGGGATGATGCCTAGGCCTCTCAGAATGATGTTATATGCATGCTGTTTGTGAGAAATAGATTATGCTGGCAGTCGTGTTGTGGGAGGGGCACCCAAAGCTGGTTTTTATTGTTATTACTATTACTATTGAATAACATTGAAGTCTGTGCCAGGCACTATTTTAGGGGCAGGGAATACGGTACTGAACTAAATATAAACAATGAAAGAAAACCCTGAAGCTGACATTCAAATAAAGAGGAAACAGACAATAAACAAACAAATATATATATACATTGGTGTCTCAGATGGTGATATGTGATTGCAGACAAGTAAGGCAGATTTTTTTTCTTTTTTCTTTTTTGCCAACATAAAATAGCAGACAGGGCCAGGCACAGTGTCTCACGCCTGTAATCCCAGCACTTTGGGAGGCCAAGGAGGGCAGATCACTTGAGGTCAGGAATTTGAGGCCACCCTGACCAACATGGTGAAACCCCATCTCTACTAAAAATACAAAAATCAGCCAGGCGTCGTGGAAGGCACCTGTATTCCCAGTAGCTCGGGAGGCTGAGGCATGAGAATTACGTGAACCCAGGAGGCGGAGGTTGCAGTAAGCCAAGATAGTGCCACTGCACTCCAGCCCGGGCGACAGAGACACTGTCTCA